CTCCATCAATAAGGATTTCTAATGCAGTAGTATAAGAGCTATAACATAAAATATATCATGCCTGCATAGGTGTTACCTGAATTGACTTTATGGTACTTCTTTTGGTGTTCTCCTAATGAAGACCAAGACATGTCGACATTCTAGCATTTTAACTACAAAAATTCAGCTAACTTGTGAAATTTGTTTTCTCAGCAGCAACATCACGAAGAGCAGGAAGCTGAGCAGATGGTTAATTAAAGAGAATAGAATTTTCACATGTAACCAAAGTGTTTTAAAACATACCAGTCTAAAGGTGACCTACAAAAAGCTTTTATAAACTAGAAGTATTTAATTGTGTTGAATGACCCACATAAAGGAACACTTCAGTGCCTGCTACATCATGTATGTCCTTTTTGGCTGTGATATTTAAGCATATTAAATATATTGAGCTCTTCCTATAAAGAATCAATCACTCTGACTTGTTCTGGCTTACTCTGTATGAAGTGTTCAGGTAACGGTTCACCATGTTGTGGATACATGCAAAATACTTCTGTGAACGTTGAGGAAAGCAATGATTTTGCTAGGTCACAGCACACCTAGAAAGACAGTATCATTTGGCAACTTGGGAAGCAAAGAGTTACGTACTGGATGGGGACAGCAGCTACAGAGAGCTCCCACTAATTTCTGGAACAGCCATATGATCTAGGATGTTTCCTTCAGCTGAAACTGAAGCATATGTCTGTGAAACAAAAATCTTACTCTCCTCTCAAGCAAAATCAAAAGCTTTTATCTTATCCTTGTAATTCTGTTTCTCCACTATTAGTCAAAGGATGACACTCTTGCAAGAGTTAATACTTTAGAGCAGATCTGCAACCATCTATTGGGAATAATGGGGGAGAGAACAAGCATTTACTTGAAAATCCTGGATAACAGCTACAGAAAGAACATGAGTAAAAACAGTTCTTTAATTCCTTAAGAAACAGATAGGGGGACATAAAATGTATGCCCAGAACTAACGAAAACCATCCTACACATAGCAGCAGCACCAAGCAGTTCACTGAATGCCTTTGAAGCTCTGATATGATCAAGAAGTCGTTTTTACCAGTATGCCCTTTTGAGGAAATGTAACTCAGGAAATTTCCTGAGGAAATGCAACCAGTTAATAAAGTACTAGTACTTGAATTCCTGCGCACCTTATAAAATGTTACACACAAGGCTCTTGTGTGTAACTAAAACTGGAGCCATTTCCAGTAAGTGAATCATTTGTGATTTACCACATGATTTGTACCAGAAAACAAACAAAACAAAAAAAAAAAAAGAAGAAGAAAAAAAAAAAAAGCAGGTCACATAAATCAGAACTTGTTCCTGGGATAGTTTGGGTTCTTTCTTACTAATTTAGCATTTGGGACCAAGAGGTTTGTGTCTTTCCCTCTTATTGACAAGGCTCCTACTTTTCAAATCATTCACTTATATCTGGCCTGGTGCTGAACCTGTCTCTTTAACCAGGCTCTGGACATGCTGAGAAGTAAAGCTGCTTGCTTGTGGCACAGATCCAGTGCTGTAGGAACAATAAATTGGGAAGAAAGCAGAATTGCTGGATTCGAGCCAAATTACTCAATAGTTCTGTAGACGTGTTAAATTTAATTTGCATGTTGTTAGGATATTATCATCTTTAATGGCTAAAAGCTTTCTGAGAAGTCCATACAGTGCCAGATAGACTTTGGGTAATATCAGTCTATCTTCAGCTTACCGAGTGATAATTTTTACAAAAATTGGTGCAGGCAGCAGTTCTTCCTTAAGTTGCCAGCACTGTTCTTCCACGCCAAGTTTCCATGTATCTGCCACTGTAATGATGTTTTAAACATTGAAAATAACTACGATTGTCAATCAGAGCTCACTGAGTACTCTCATACATTCCACAAATCTTTCTTTAAGCTGCTACTACGTGCCTTGATCTGACTTCAGAAGTTTCTTTGTTATCATCTGCCTGCAGGAAACATTCTGTGGAAGTTCTGTGAATTGCATCAGACAGGTAAAAGCTGGCACTTGAATAATTTATGTCAGCAGCATATTTTCAGTAAGCAACTTGGCCATCAGCTGCAGAGCAGCATCTTAACAAAGATCTAGGTAATATGGAAGCAGTCTGAAGAAATAATTCTGATTATTCATCTGTACCACACAAAATGCACACATTGACACCGATGCTGGCAGTTAACTCATACTAATACCAGTTTTTTATCATAGGGATTGCATTTAATGCTTCTTTTCCCCATTTCTGTACAATTATTTCCAGTAACTTCTTTTTTTTTTTTTTTTAATTGTCAACAGCACAAATTGCTAGGCTGGCATTAGAATTAAAAAGTGGACAAAGACAAAGAGAAAAATGAGACTGCCAGTTGTCAGAGCAGCCACTGATCAGTCACAGTGGAGCATACTGCTCCTTCACGAGGGCCTCACTGATTCACCTTCTTGAAAGTATAACTTGATTACCTTTCTCTGATTGTCAGACATGATTTTTTATGTGCAAACAATATCTGAAGATGTAATGATTACTAGGCGTACAAAAATGAAGCTATATACTGTTGAGTCAGAGCTTGCTCGCATCAGAGCAGTTTACAATATATGGAATACAATGCTGTTGATGGAGACTGTAAATATAACCATAAACTAACATTAAAAACTGCAAGACCTTGTCTAGAATGCAATTTTATTATTATTATTTCTAAATTAGGGAAGACAAAATGTCAAGCATTAGCCACTATTTGGCAATGCCTTATAGGATATACTGTATCCCAGTGTAAATAAAGAGTTCATAATTTCTTCTAAAGCATATATAAATGACATTTCTCTTTGATATGCTGTTCAAAGTGAAAATCCTGATTCTAAAATTAGAAATTCTAATAGGGAAAAAAAAAATACTTGCAAGGGGGTAAGATTGAAGAAAAGATAGTAGTGCTCTATCTTTGGAATTAATACGATCCCATGTGATGATAATCGGACACTGATTATATTTATCATTTTGGAAGAGCTACTGTGCATTCCTACTGTTACAACAACAGCACCACTTCCTTTTAACAATGTTTTTCATAGTGCTTTACAAAGGATGTTAGGATCATTATCTTGACTTTACTGACAGGAAAATCAAGAAACAGACCACTGAAAAAATAACTAGCTGAAAGTCACCTGACAGACAAGTGACTGAGTGGAAACACAAATTTTCAAGTTCCAGTAGCATATTCTACTGACAAGACCACAGTGATGCTTTCAAATGCCCGAGCCACCTTCTAACCAGGTGAGTGATCACAGAATTTACAAAGGCACTGACTGTGCTTTTCTGGCAAGCCTGGCTGAGTACCTACTAAATATTACAGCAAGAAGCCATTCATAACTATTAAAAGGTTCTCCTTTAGCAAAGCCATCCAGTTGTTAGTGGCTGGCAGGAGTTCAAAATTCCAGTTTAAAACCATCTGTCTCTTTTAATTGACTTTACTGTCTTGGTCTTTCCCAGCTGTGGTACTTAAGATAGGAATAAGAAGCATAGACAGCAATTCTTCTATTATGTCTGGTCTAGCACTTCCCCAACACTTTCACACCACAAGGAAATCTTGTAAAAGTTCAGTACTCCCCCATGTCTGTTGCCTCCTTAGCTTTCTGATGACTCTACATGTTTAAAAGAAAGTTTTGAGAGAGTAAAACTCAAGTAAAATTTTCTGTTGAGAGAACAAACATCCATAAGCTCTACCAGACAGGGAATTAATCACAAAAAAACTTTGGCTTTCTCAGAATTACAACAGCTAGTTAGTTATTGAACCTGAACATCTGTGTTAGGTAGGGACTGAGGAAGGGAATATATTTTTGCCCTCTCACCACCTCTACTTGCCTCCTCCATTAAAGACTGTTGGCCGACTGTCACAGAAGACAGCTGTTCTGTGGCTAATTTGAAAGTTACACCTGCTAAAGACATTTTCAACCAGACCACAGCTGCCAGATTCAGGCCTCCTCATACAACTCAGGCAGCAGGAAGAATTACAATCAGCACAGAGAATCTGTCCGCAAATTAACAACACAATATATTATAGTACGTCATCCAAAATTTAACACATAAAGGTATCGTCGTCTGACTGTATGGAGTATCTCTGCCAAAGAACAATCTTCCATTTCAGATTTAGAGTAGATGGAGATTTATTATTTGTTTTGGTAATTGTTCAGTGGCTTTTTTCTCATAAGGTTGCAAGAACACTGAAGAGCATTACTCAGACCAAGGGTTGTTTTTTTATGGTTGGTTGTTGGTTTTGTTTGTTAGTTTGTTGTTGGTTTTTTTTTGCCTTTGGAGTGACTCTATCTTTGAATCCGACACATACAATTTAAATTTTTAATTAGAAATTACATTTTGGAACAGTACATCGATCAAATCAGACAGCACTGCTGTGTGTACATGAAACCCACACATAAACACACACTATTTATAGTCTCAGTATATATTCTATAGTTTATCTTACATAACTGTATACACTAGAGCTAGAGCTAGTGCAGATACTAAATAACCCTTTTTTCTTTTTTTCTTTTTCTTTTCTTTTTTTTTTTTTTTTTTAAGAAAAGGAAAGCCATCTACACACAAATTAAAAAATCCTCATTTATTATTTTTTGAGCACTGGTTTCCTGATTCTTGTTTTTTTTCCCAGCCCATTGAATGTTCAATTGCCATTGTACAATACACTCAAAATACAGGAAGGATATGATCAGTGGGGTCGATTTCAAAGATGCGGAATTACCACTGAAGAACTACCACTGAACTAGATCTGACTGAGCTTAAACGGCCCCAAGGCACTTCATCGCCTCGAGACAGATTTACAGATTCAGGCAGTTAAGCAGAAAGATATAACTCTGAACGTATGAAACCATAGCACAAGTTCTTGCTTGTTTCAAAAGCATACACAATATTTCTACAGCTGTTTAAAATGCCAGAAACCCATTCAACTATTTTTGTTTTAAAATCACTTTTGCAGTCATTCATTACTAACCTTGCTGTTAAAGTTGGAGAAGTGACAACAGAGGTAAAAATCTCAACCATAGCCATTTTACAAAGATCAGCTGCAGATCCTATGAAACAAAGTGACCTGGTTTTAATGTAAAGCATGCAAAATGAAAAAGTTATCCTTTGAACTATGGCACAGGAACGAAACACATCTGAAGGTTATGAATTACAAGAATTTTCAAAACTAACAAATTCAGTTGACGTAGTATGTAAAACAGATCAAAAGATTAATAAAAAATAATAGTTGCATGTTAATTAAAACAGAAAATAATAATATTAAAATATATGCTAACTAAGGGTGAATTTAACACTTATGGACATGAGTTGAGAACTTCTTCCTATATAAAAAAAAAAAGAGTCTGAAATCATCTAACTCTAAATTGGATTTAAAATTTACCTATAAATCAATTAAAATTTAATGTCATAAAAGATTAGAACATTGTTTCAGGAACACATTTTCATTTGGTAACTTAATTTATGCTTTTTCATATCTCCATTGGTTTGTAATGTATATTCATTACATTACAGTGTTAAGAGCAGTGGTGCATAAACAGTGTCATGTTATATAATGGATTCTTCATTTCTAGGGATCAAGAAACGGAATGATTCCCCATGCCTGCAGTTTAGTGAAAGGGTCTGTTTTGAACCATGCAACAGAGCTTTAATGCATTTTTATATAAAGAATTATCAGATGAAATACAGAAACAGTCCTTTAACTAAGGACTGGAAACAGTAAGTCTCCTTACTCCATGAGATATCCTAAATGTACCAAACCATATGCATGCTTTTTTTTTGCACCCCCTAACTCAGTGAATCTTGAATTCTTTCTTCCAAATTGTCCAAGTTCCAAAGATAAAGACTAGCAAGGTTAGGCAAATTGCACGGGTACTCTCCTGGGACCTAAGTGAGTATCTAAGAGATTGAGGAGATCATTATCTCTCAATGACCCAAGAGAGGAAAGACTTCACCTCTTCTTTATTCATGGCTTTCTGTGACAAACTGCCTCCTCTGAGTCCCATACTGAGACTCCACCTTGATGACTTTGCCACAGTTGTGTAATAGTTTAACTGCTGTAGAACATCTTTGGAAAAGTATTTTGATTAAATTTTTCTGACCAGTTCTGTAGTCCTTTTTGAAAATATTCCTTGACGTTAAAACAATAAAATAAAATAATAGACTAGATACTTGTGGATATAGTCCCATTATTTCAGTGTATTTGGAACTTGCCAACAGCAAGATCCCAGAGTGGAATTCTTCCAAATAAATGCGATGGTTTCCGTGATAAATATCTTAATAAAATACATGTTTTTCTCTATTCAGCCAGCTAGATCTGAAACATAACTGATGAATAATATGCTGTACATTGGTAAAGACTATTGTACTGGAATCTTCAATAAGAGAAAAAACACTAAGAATGAACTGTGGCAAATATCATTGTAGTAAGTTGAAGCTGTAACTCTGTATGAGAGTATGTTCCTCTCAATATTGCGACGCAAACGTCTTCTGCTATCAGTTTCTGCTACTATATGCAAAATGCAAACTGCTTACATTAATTAATTATTATATATAAATATAAAACATGTTATATGCAGTTTACTATGCTAACAATGTAAAAAAATGTTTTAGCATAATTTTGGAAGTTTTTGCAGTCTTTAAATACTATCTCACAGCTGAAATGCTGCAATTAAAAATCATTCTAGTCTAGAAGGAAATTTTAAATAATGTTTAGGAATACAGAATATGTTAAAGTTTTTTATATGTGTTTCACCTGATCTTCCAATATTACATGTTTTGAATAATTGACACAGTATTTTTCATCAGATTTGTCTTCCAGAATGATTTGAGCTAACAATGAAATATGTTAATCTTCTTCGTGTATGTCTTGATACATACAAGTGAGAATTTTGTAGACAGCCCTGTGGCGGCTTTGCCTCAGCTCCAGGCTCTTTGGACAGATGGACAAAAGAAAGTGATGCTCAGAGGGCCGTGTAGCTTTATTAATGCTACGCTGTACACTCAGCAGGACTTGCTCTATTAGCTCAAGCACTGTGCCTTCAGCTCGAGAGGGCTGCCGGCCAACTGGATGGAAACCCAGGTAAGCTGAACACAAGCCTCCAGAGAAGATTGTGTGGGCATTCCCATATTTACAAATGCACAAGCCTTTGCTGCAGATTTTATGAGGATGTATTAAAATCCTGCATATGAGAGCCTAATACAGCAAGGCAGATATCACTTGAACAAAAATTTTACTCACGCAACAGGGCATTAGAATTCTAGATCTATGCATGTTCTTGCAGAGGTTGTACCTAAATTCAGTTACTAATTATAAGGAGTGTCAAACACGACATAATTACTTAAGTCATTTTTAAAATGAAACATTAACGTGAATAATATTTGGAGAGGAAGAAAGAAAAATCAAATGATCCTTTCAAAAGGAAAATTCAAATCATTCTATAAAAAGCACACCATCACCATATTTAGAAAGCAGTTTTTACTTGCCTGTAAATAGTACATGTCCAATATAACTTAATGAAAACCCTGTCTGCATCTTCCAGTTAAAGAAATAATACTTCCAAAGGGTAGTTTGGTAGGAGGGATTTCTGCTCTGGACCACCAGCTCAGTTTTTTTTTCTTTAGGTGGCTAAATTCTTTACGATACTGGGCCCCACACAACTTAAACTGAGTATGTTAATACATCATTAACTAATAGTTGAGTATTTTTATGCTGCTTTTTACGTTTTCCAACGTGGAAAATTTCCCATGTTGTTCTGTGAAAAAATGTCTTTATTCTCACCCTTCATAGAATTATTTTCAAATGATCTTTACAAAGAATGATTTGGATTTCAAAACAATAATATATGTTCTTGTAATACTGTATATTTCTTAAACTAAAGCTATCTAACAAAATAAAAGCTAGAAATTGCAAGCAGAAAAATCACATAAACCCTTTTGGTGTAACAACCTACCAAAGAAACCAGAAAGGAAAATGTTTTAAGACAACAATACAATTGAAGCCCTGAAATATATATTATCTCCATACATAATTTGTATCTATTCCTATATTTAACTACCACAGAGAACTTGACTGTATTAGAACATAGTGTGTTGTGATACTGTTTACTTTCTATTTCCAAGGAAGCTAGAATACTTACTTTAAACTTCTCTTTTATAACAAAACTCATGCCTCAGTAGTAGCCTACTAAATAATTCATTCTTTTGAGATTATCAGAGTTGTCTGCTAGAGTTAAATGTAGATAGGTAAGTAAATAAGTAGGTACGTAGGTGTTGGTTTTGTTTTGTTTTTTTTTTTACCTTGAACAACAAAATTGACAGCCTGCCTCTCTGCTTGAGTGCGTAGTTTATAATCCTGTGCATTGATATTAGCCAGTGGTCTTTTACGCCCCATAATGGAAACCACATAACCTGGTAGGATTTAAGTAGAAATCCGTATTAGAGCAATTAAACTTCAAACATTCTTTTTGAAGATAATACAGATTTTTGGAATTATGCACTGTTTGAGACAATTCAATATTTTTCCTTCTGAAAATAGTCAGAGCTTATTGTATTGTTGGTCTCAGAATTATTTTACTCAGAGAATTGGTACATGTTATACAAGAAAAAATTGTGTTCATTAAAGCTGTATTTCATTAGGAATGTCTGCTGATATACTGATAGAAGAGCAAACTCTCTCTGTGGGAGATGAAACTATAAATACCTAGCAGAATTAGCTATCTATTAGCAGCCATAATTAGAGCTTTCCATGAAATGAATAGATTACATGGGAATAGCAAAAATATAAAAAAATAAAATCAATTTGTGCAGCAATTAAATCATTAATGAATCTTTCCCAGAATTACCAAATAGTTTTGGGGGAAAAAAAGTTATTTTTTTTTCCTAAATACAATAGTTTCATGTCCCTTCTACAGTCAAACTTCTTTAACTCTCATTTGTTTTTGTTTTTTATCATTAAAAGAAACACATGAAAACAGAGATAAATATTTATTTTAGGCCTGATGATGTTGTATTTTGCCAAAATAGCTGCTAGCACTTGAGAGGATCTGAGAGATGAAGAGAGATCCAATGATCCTCTTGTCCATATAACACATGTAAAGCCTTATCTTAGCTTTTATTCCTCCCCCCCCCCAAAAAAAAAAAAAAAAAAAAAAAGAAAAAAAGAAGTACAACAAGTGAAAATTTAAGTAAGAAAAGTGAAGTCACCCATGTTAAAAATACATCTTCATACAATCTTTTCTTCTGAGTACCCTGACTTGATGAGTCATCACTAGATACCATGGAAGTTCAGACTGACGCAGAGTTTCATCTTGTCTGACGTATCTCAGATATGCAAGCAGAGTAAGAAAACCTCTCCAAACACAAAGGTTTGACTTTACTGTGGACAGCACACACCCAGTACTAAGCACAGGGAATGAAGATTCGGGTCACGAGTGGTGTTCCCCAGGGGTTGGTGTTGGGACCCATCCTCTTTAATATCTTTACTGATGATTTGGATGAGGTAATTGAGTGCACCCTCAGTAAGTTTGCAGCTGACACTATGCTGCGGGGAAGTGTCAATCTGCTGGAGGGTAGGAAGACCCTGCAGAGGGACCCGGACAGGATGGGTCAATGGGCAGAGGCCAATGAGATGAGCATCAACGTGGCTAAGTGCTAGGTCCTCCACTAGATGATCCTGGAGGTATTTTCCAACCTTAATGATTCTGATTCTAAGATGGTTCTGCTGAATTCCTATTCTGCTGAATTTCCAGAAGTGCTGACACTAAAAGTACAATTTTTGGAACAAGGAACTGAACTATCTGGAGGTTGGGATATTCTTTGGTGAATTACTCTTTTCAATTTAACTAAGATTTTCCTTGAAGAAAAGGAAGAAGATGGAATTCTTCAAGCATTGGACTCTCAATGAAAAATAGATTTACTGTAATAACCCTACTCCTAAATGGTGTGCTTCTGATACATGAAATATCAGACATTCATAACATGTAAATAACATTAGGTGGGCAGATGCTATTAATCTCTGAACTGCAGATAAGTAAAAAGATTTATAATGAGCTCTGTAGGTTAGAAGTTTCTTTCTGGTGAGAATCTGAGGTGGATTAATAAGAAAAATGTTAAACAATGTTTATCTGCTGCAATTTTTTTGAGCTTGTACAACTGAAAAAGGTTATAGTTCTACCATTAATAGTTAAAACAATGTTTGAAAGTTGGGAGTGAATGGAGGAGTCAGTACTATTTAGACAAGTATGTGCTGAGTTTTAACGACAATCAAGGTTATTAGTTATGACACACTTGTCCACTAAACACACAAAACATCATTTTACACACAATTTTGGTTACAGAAACTTGTTTACTTGAAAGAGAAGAAAGTTACGTTATTTTAAATAGATCAAAGAAAATATGTAATAAACTGGTAATATTTTACTAGTTATATTATGTTGGGCTTAATTAAAGTGAAGCTACCGAAAACCTATTTTTTCTTTAGGAATATTAATGAATAAAGAAATGTAATTTCATGACACAAAGACAGTTCGTGCTTCCAGTAGGCTTTTAAGCTCTACAAAGCAGAGAAAATGAATACTAGCATTTTCATGACCAGAAAGTCAGAATCAGTTATATGGTTCTATCATGACACTCACCTGTTCAACAATGGGTAATAATAAATTGCAAATTTACTGTTTATTTCTACAAAATGTCTTAGTACAGTATGCTGTACTAGGAAACAAAAGAAATTAATTCTGACAATTCTACTAATAATTCTACTAATAATTCTGCTAATTTCCTTCTAAAGTAAATATTTCAAGCAGCTATACTTTCTCCAAATTACTGCACTCTTAGGATTCACTACATATCAATGGATATATAGAATAACAACAAATCTGATGCAAGAAGTGTTTGCAGCTGCTGTCTCCAAGAATTACTCTGCACACATCTGTCATAACATATACCACCTGAATGTCAAGAATATAAATTCTGACTGATGCAAAAAAAAATGTGATAAAAATTGTCTCTGTAAATGTTTTTGTTTCTTTGATTGTTTTTGTCTAAATGCCTGAACTTCTATGGTCCAGCAGCCATACGGCATATTTATTAAATGAAAGATTCCTTATGGTTTATTTGTGTTGGAATACGTTATATGTTAAAATGATGCAGTGTAACTTTATGTTAAATAGAGTTCACTCTGTGAACAAGCATCTTAGTCTTTTAGCATCTTTCTGAGATAAGTCAGACATATTTAACCAGTTTGTCTTAGGGTTGAAAGAGAAAAACCTGAATCACCAGGAAATGATATTCTATATTTTCTCCTGTATATTCACCTGTAACTATCTGACTTTTGGTTGAGCTGAATCTCTGTCTACATCATTGTAATACAGTGCTGATCAATAAATAAAAGTATGCGTGTGGGCTTTGGATTACCTTTTGTTCGGCATTGTTCAATGGTTTTCTTTGTAAATTCATTTACTTTCTTGTATTTTTGCATAAAACTCTCTATAAAATGACTGGCTTGAAGAGGAGTAATTCCCAGGCATTCAGCAAGACGTTCTTTACCTGGTGCATAGAAAAGCAGAACAGAAATCCACTACACACTGTTACATTCACAATTAGTGGAATTAGTAAAGGTACATATCTCTATGAAAGAGAATGGATCTGATATACTACAGTAATATTTAAACAATGCAAATGTTTAACTTTGAGCTTGAATGTTTCACTGAAGTTAGTGGATTAAGAATACACTTAATAAGAAGTATATAAACAGTACATAATTAGGAAATTCCTAGTTATAATTTATACCTATAATGCAGTTGACATCTATTTTGTTCACATAACTTCTGTTGAAGTATCATCAACACTAGGTAAGTGTTGAAATGTGCAAAATTTTGAGGAGCAGATGTAGAACTTGAAAACAATTTTAAATAAATATAAATGTGAATGAAGATCTAAAAAAAGGGATGGAGATGCAGCTGGTTTAGTTTAGCTAGAAGTTTTGGATATGGTGTACAAATCATGGAAAAACATAATGGCTGAAGCAATCAGACCAAGTGGCTTGATTTGAAAATGGTAGTTAGGAGTGTGAGTCCCACATATTTCAGAGTCTTGGGCTCCTCAATTTCTGTAAAAAACAGAGTCCAAGTTGTGAGATGAAAGGGTTGGAAAAAGACATCCAGAATTAAAAGGTCTTTCAGCAGAGACAGAAAGGAATAATATCTTTTGGATAGGACATAGATGCATAATATATATTACATATATGTATCTAAGAGCACCTATAAGATAAGATAGAAAATCAATCAAACAAACAAACAAAACATAGGACAGTTTTCCAGAGTGTGAAAACAATCTAGGAGCTACAGTTTAAAGACATTTATAAACCAAATAGTTCCAGTAAAAATAAAACATATATCAACATTAGTCATAAGAGGTTTAAAAGACAGATATATTTGTCAGCTGCACAGCAACACAAAGCAGCACTGTGTCTGCAAATAACAAGCTGAGAGGCGATGTCTCAAGGCACTAAAAGCATGGAATAGTTATTGTCACAGTAATACCGTCAAGAAGAATTATCTAGCGTTTTCGAAAGAGAAAGGATTTCAGCCACCTAAATGCCATCACTGTCAGTTTGATGTGCATTTCAGAACAATCCTGTACCATTTTGTTCTCTGTCATGCCAGGATCTCCACTGAGCTCCAGAAACACTAGTCTGGACAAGGTACTAAAATAAGAAATTCACATCTAGGATGACTCTTAGGCCTTGAGGCCTGTGCATTTGTTTGACATCTAAGTAATTTTTTTTTTACTTCTTTGGCCAGAAAATGACAAATCTATCTGTCAATGCACATATTGTTAATAGCTAGAAGACTGCTGTGGCTACCTTAGAGAACTGCAACATCCATATGAAAGCCTGCTCTAAGGAAGCTGCTTTGGCAGGGGGGTCAGACCCGATGGTCTCTCGAGGTCCGTTCCAACCCCTACAACTCTGTGATTCTGTGATATGTTGCAATATCCACATTATTCTTCTAAAGAACTACTGCTATACAGAACAAAGCATTACATAAAATAGTCAGAAAATTAAGGCACAGTATCAATAAGAAAGTCTGAAAAGTTCCAGGGAGATGCAGTTTCTGGGAAGCAAAAACAAAGAGGACTGTACAACCATGTAAGATCACATTTCACGATGCAGGAGCACAGACCATGCTAAGCAGCTCCCAGGAGCGGACTAAAGCTTCCTTGAGACTTCCCCTTAAATTATGTGTGCCAGGGGAATTGGTAGCAACATCCTGTGAGTTTTAGTGTTCTCCATTCTGTAATATCTTTCAAAACTGAAAATAGCACTATTTGCTTTTTTTTGGTTTTCATTTAAACACTTTGACATTCCTCTGTGTTCTGTATAATTCAGGACTTGAACATAGTGCCATTGAATAGAACTAATTCTTTCTTTTACAGAAGTTTAAATTGTATTTTCTGCAAGAGTGATTGAGGCATAAGCAGATGAATATAACTGCTCAAAATTAAGCAAAAAGTTTGTAATAATGTTATCCATCTCTCTATCTGGTATATTTATTAAAGTACTGACTCCTAGACATAGAGAGACTCTATCATACTGTTTTCTATCCTCCAAGATTATGGAAAAGACCTTGAAAATATAAACCAAGAGTAACTTAAAGCTAAGAAAACATTAAAAAATATTACTATTTACTACATGAAAGTAATCATAATACAGGCAAGCTCCTCCAGAGGTCCCTTCTAACCTCAACATTTTGTGATTCTGTAAACATGCTTTGACGCAACATCTGAATTTCTCTAATTTCACTGCAGTTACTCTCATCTCCATGCACATACTGACAGAATGCAGTTTCCTAAAAGTTATACTAATTTTAGATAAAGACAAATGCTTCAATTGCATCAGCAACAAATAAACACAAAATCAGAGTAATATTTGTGTATGTCAATGTAGCTATATTACCTGGATAATTTTGATACAGAGTAGATTATTTAATAATACTTGATATAAATAACAATATAATACAAAATTTTATTCCTTTCCCTGAATTCAGCACACTTGCAAAAATTACATATAAGGTAGGAATATACTGTAGCTGTTTATTTTGTAAGATGCTTACCTGCTCCATAAACTACTGAGTAAACTACACGCTTTGCTTGCTCTCTATCAGCTTGTTTCACTTCTTCACTTGGAATCCCCTTCCTAAATGAACAAACAAAAATAATATATTTTCAGTTAAAACTAATTTAAATTTTTATCCCCACAGGAAATGTATTTAACCTGAGATGTATAAGGAATAGAAGCACTTCGGGGCTTTTGTCACAATGAATATACAACTTCTTTAAAAATTTTGGGTGATAGTCTATAGTAAATGAAGCTCCTTAATCTTCATCTTGTCCTTTCCTTTGCTTTTAAATCAAATCCTTGGCTAGGAAAAGTCCTACTATTTTACTATTAGTTCTTTAGGGTGAAAAGTCTCCAGTACTGACCCATGAGAAAAGTTAAATCTCCCCAGCAACAGCATTTCTTCAAGACATAAAGTGTATTGAGACTCTGAACAAAAGTCTGACCTAAAGCTAATTTAAACAAAGGTTGTACATCAAGAATAACAACTGATATACATGTAAGCATGTACCAAATCTCTTACATGTCTTACAGAGCTCCACAATAGAGATACTTCAAAAAACAGCAGCACTGGCTGTTTCTTAACTGGAGAGTGTAGCTAGTTTACTGGCAGCAAAGCATTGCCCTTCCCACTCCCCATTCACTCACCAAGTGATGTAAGCAGTCCTATGAAAGGGTTCATGGATTTAGTAATTTGCAAATTAAAAGCTAGACCTCTGCAATGACCAAGTTTATGCCACCTATGCATTTTCTTATCTAAGTGTAGATTCAGAAAGAATAGCAAACTACTGACAACATTGACAAGTATTGATAATTGGTTTAAATAGGAGTGCATTGAGGGAAATCTAATCTGATCACACTCTGAAAAGAAATACCTACACAAACTGTCTTTGGAACTTAGAGATTTACTGCTGGCAGAGATACCTGATTCACCAGGCACAGCTTGCAAATAAGTTTCCTCATGAGTATGTTCATGATGATGTGATTGCGTTTTAAAATTCTGTTTGGTATGCTTTATCACGAAAACTTTCTGTTATGAAAGATGCTTTATCATGGAAGTTTGTCTGACAAGCTTTGAAAAAATGTCGTATTTCTGTGTATCTTCTTAGAGTCTTTCACCATTATTTCACCATGATATTCAAACACCTAGAAAATCAACAGAGCCACAAATTTGCGCTTGGTTGGCACATACACTGATTTTAGCCTAGCTTATGAAAAGTGCTGGTATAATTAGGCTCTGAAAGATGAACAGGTAGGCCTTGGGTGCAATCAGTGTTGTGTCCTTACAGAAATACAGATTTTTTTGAAGATGAAAATTAAAATTGAGCACAATTTAAAACCTTCCTTGGGCAAATAGTCTTCAGTTTTGTAAAAGTTCACATTGTGACTTTGAGCAGTATAATTGCTTCAAAGAAAAAAAAGACTTTTCTCTGTTCATTTTTAGGCTGAGACACAAAGAGCTAGATAATCTGATAGACAATGTTTTCAGTGTCGAGATTATTCCCACTTAAGTCAATCATTTTGGTAGTTGGAGGCTCTTATAATTTGCCTTCTCTGCTGTGCCAGGTGAAAAGGTCATGGCTCTTATGAATAAAACAGGCTGAGATTCCCAAATGTACCTGATTAAGATGACAGAGTGGCAATTAGAACTAATATGTGCAGAATTAGGAAACCAGACATCATCAAAGATTTCCTGAAGCAACTTCTGGCAGAAAGTCTCCAGGAATTTCCTGAAGGACCTGGCAGAAAGCTACACATATTCTTGGGAAAACATCTATCCAGAACCAGGAGGGAAAACAGAGTCTGGAGGGAAAACAGGAGTTCCCTAGAGATCAGAGAGTAGATTCACCTGATGACCATTCTGGAATAAAGAACAAAGACTGAAAAATATATAAATTAGGGAAAATAAAAAATCTAATTCTGTTTTCTTATTAATGCATAATTAAAACCAAGTGCCTAGAGAAAACAAGAGATAGGATTACAATAGATTTTACATGCAGATTTGCTTAAGTTTGAGGTTAGAGACAACCAAGAGCCAAGGGGTGAGCAGGAGATATGTTAGCTGCCAACCTCTCTGAAAAAGAAGGGCTAGGACTGCAAGAATACAGTGGGCAAAAAGGCCTGGAGATCTGTACAGTCATCAGGTCGTGGTACTGAAGAAGCAACTCAAGACAAGATCTTTGCTCTTGCTGGGTGGGACTGGTGGTTTTAGAGGAGCTTTAACAGTGCAAGACACCAGAACTTGGTACCATGCACTGTGTGTGGATTTTTAGGACTTTAAGGTTGATTTTGCATCATCCAAACTCCAACCTGAAGGAGCTGATAGAGAAAAACAGAAATACTTTGTTGTAATCATGATAGGCAGAACCAGGAGAAGAATCCTGTTTTGATTGTAAACAATCACAATAAAACCTTGTCATTAAGGTGCAAATGGACCCACATCATGTGATTACAGCAAGCATGACAGCCACATTGCATTTCCTCATCTTCAGTTATTTAATAAATATATGAGAAGCAGGTAATATTTCTAGAGCACTGTGACAAATTTTTCATTTACTAAAATGCTAAATACAAAGTGGTCAGTCTAAACATCCTCGTATGTCAGAGGGGGAAATGTGAGCACTCAGCGGAGAGGCATTCAATCTAGCACCCTCAATATGTGCAAATGTATGTATCCCACTCAAGAATCCTGAATAATAAAAGATGATAAAAGAAATTGCCATATAAATCACAAGTGCTCGAGCAAATACAAGTCATTAATCAAAACTATTCCTTTTTTTCTAATAATGATTTTTTTCCTGTTTATATTAACAATGATTGGTTTCTACCTGTGATGTTTGATTCCTTCTGTAATAGAGTGGTACTCCTGCAGTTTGAGCAGAAGACTATTCCTTTGAATAACAAAATAGCATTAGGGGGTCAATTTCTCATCCATGCAGTAGCCACACTAGAAATCCTCACTGGGCTTTCTTCTTGAGCCTATTTCCTCTACAAATACATTTATTTTCACAAGAACCTCTTCTGTGAAGAAAGGCTGAGAGAGCTGGAGATGTTCAGCCTGGAGAAGAGAAGGCTCCAGGGAGACCTCACTGTGGCCTTTCAATACTTAAAGGGATCTTATAAAAAGGATGGAGCAGGACTCTTTACTCAGGCAGATAATGATAGACAAGGGGGAGCAGTCTTAAACTAAAAGAGTATAGATTTAGATTAGGCGTCAGGAAGAAATTCTTCACTGTGAGGGGGGTAAGGCACTGGCTAAGGCTGCCCAGAGAAGCTGTGGATGCCCCATCCCTGGAGGTGCCCAAGACCAGGCTGAATGGGGCTTTGGGCAGCCTGGGCTGGTGGGAGGTGTCCCTGCCCATGGCAGGGGGTTAGAACTAGATGATCTTTAAGGTCCCTTCCAATCCAAGCCATTCTATGATTCTATAACATATTAATTTATGTCCTACTTATAATAAGCTATTATGTCCCTCTTTTAATAAGCTATTTGGTCAAGCTCTTCATTAATATGATAATCTTCAAATTCTTCCTGACTTGCCACCTCCAAACGTGCAGTATTTCACCTCTTGTGTGCCTGCATTCTTACATTCCTGTCCTTGGTGCATACTTATTTCGGTCTACTTCCACAATTCCAGTTTGCTTGTCCTTGCCTTCCTTTGTTTAGTACTGCTTTGCAAGTACTTTGCTTTATAGTACATTACTTGATACACATCTGTTAGGTGAAATAAAGAATGGGCTTCTGTGCTGGAAGACACTTATCAAGTGCAGGTTAACAGATCTCATTATTCTTGGAAGGAGTTATCAGAGCTGAACAACCAGGAAAGGTCTGTGAAGACAGCAAAATAGCAGCATAGAAAGTTATAGAAAATCTGACAAATGTGGTCAGAGTAGAGATATACAAGCTCTCTAAAGAGATGGTTCTACTATGAAGTAGGTTATATGCCAAAAAGGGAATAGCTGCCTGGAAAAGGAAAAAAAATAATAAAAATGATAAATATAAATGATAAATGATAAAATGATAAAAATAATAAAAAGAGCATTCCAAAGACTTTCTGCTGAATTGTCTTAAAACTTATGAGCACCAAGTTTCTTTATACCCAAGAAAAATATGGCAATCTTATTTGTGATTAAAAAAAAAAAAAAGAAAAGCTTAGCTACAAACCAGAATCAGAATAATATATTTATTACAAAGTAGAGAACAAGATGGAATTATTTTTAAACTGCACAGAATATTATAAAGAAACAAAAAATGCAGATTTTAGTATACAGAAATTAGCACAGCACAAAGTAGTTGAACACATGCAGAAAAAAACAAAAAAAAATCCAGGAATGCCACAGGACATAAAAATTGGGCGATAGCAAAATAAAACTTTGAGAACAGGTAGAAATGGAAGGAAACCAGCCTTAAAAGAATGCGATAAGACATTTCAGAATTTCTGGGAAATGTTGCATTGTGACGGAAGTCGTCTGTTTATGTACAGGACAAGGCAGAACAAACTTCTCCAACACAATATCTGGCAGACATGCATTGCCTTGTTCTGCATTACATTGCACCAAGCTAGGCTCAGTCATAACAGCCACAAAACTTTGGCTGCTCTCCTGCATCTGTCAATTAATCCAAGTCCTAGCTGGGAGTTGATGCAGGAAAGGAGCTGGAGTGCCCTTAAATTCATTTTATACATGGTCATTAATGTCCAATAAATGACTGAATATACAAGTGAATACACAGTCATTCATCTGGCTGCTCCTTTACACTTGCTGTTGTTGTTTTAATTTCTTCAGTGGAGTATATAAATCTGCCATTTTTAATCACTGTTGCTATGAAATAGTGGTGAGGGTTATATATTTTGTAAGGTTGTGCCTGGAACTTTGCTGGCATAGGAGACTGGTACAGGCAAATTACATAATTAGTGGCAACTGTTCCCTTTTATCATGGTAACACCACTGGATATATCATCTGGAGGAAAATTTGGAAAGCTTAGTTTTTAAGTGACATTGGCAAGCAGAATATATACCACAATATATTTGGGCATCCTAACTATATGAAAGAGATTAGTTCCACTATAACCTAGCCTGCT